TTGAAAAATTGATTCGCTTATCTATATACCTCTTCATTTCTAACCTTTCTTGTCTATATAATTTTCTAAAAAATGGTGCTGGTTTGAAATACTTTTGTGTATTAATAAATTGTATTCAACGTTACAAAAATGGTTTTTCTTCGATATTAAATATCTTGGAAACGGAAATACCTAGAAGCCTGAAATTTTCACAAACCGTTACTCATAATAATATTAAAAAGTACTCCAAACCATTTACATTTACATAGAGAACAAAAAACAATAAACATCTACATGTATGGCAAAAATTGCACTGGAGAGGAGATATTTTGCCAAATTAATAGAAACTGTTCTTTTATTAATTTTTAAGTTAAAAAATGACACACCACTTTTCCATACTGTGTATATCCAAATTCTAAATCAGTATATTTCTTTTCAATTTTACGAAAAATAAAAATGCGCACTAATAAAAAAAATGAAACCATTTTGTTTCTTTGCCTGTTAATTTTGACTTATTGATCTTACGTTTAGACCAGAGGGTATATTTGTTCTGTATATGTAACCTATCAAATGTTTGCATCGTTTTGCATTGCATTTTTACTTACACGATCGTGTTCATGTCATGCTCGTACTCTCAAGATGTCAGTAATTGAAATGGATTAAAACGAGGAGGTTGCTGTGATAGTTTGTTCCACGTACATCTTTTTTTAAAGCGCAAGGAGAAGAGGATCCGGAAGATAAAACGGTTTTGGGTACATACATTATACAGATGTTGTCTTTTACTAGTACTACTTTCATCAACAAGCTTTAATAAAAAATTAAAAGGAATAATCATCCCCAATTTACCACAAATAATTTTACCACAAATAATTTTAAATGAGCGGACACGTGTTTCGCCCACTTTACACGTGGGCATTATCAACGCGAGACTGGTTCTAAAATTAAAAAAAAAAAAAACTTTCGGGTGTTTCATTCCCACCAGCCAGTAATGCTGGTGGGCGGGCAATCCCTCCGGACTATGCCGGAAGGTAGGGCGGAAGGCCCTCTTCAGCCTGCTTTCAGGAATCGTGGGAATGGGTGGGTGGTGGTTCGGGTGAGAAAGATGAGACGGACGAAATGAAGACAGAAGAGAATGAAAGATTATCTGTGGAATATTACTGCCTCAGCATTTGCCTAAGTGATCCAAGGAAACCACAGAAAAACTTGGACCAAGGCAGACGGACCCGGAATCGAACCGGCGTCCTCCCGAATGCTAAGCAATGGTCTAGACCTCTAGGCCATGCCGCTCGGTTCTAAAATTTACAATTCTAACTATTTATAGTGGCGAGGGTTGAAGACCGAAAGAAGGACGGCGACATTTATTAAGGAAATTAATGTCAGCTTGTATAATTTTAATCCTACATTTTAGAACCTTAAATCTGTTTAACTCCAATGACCGGGAAGCCATATTCAAAATAGAAGGAGGAGACTATATACTATTTATAACTATATTTTTAACTCTTGCGGCAGCTCTAGGATAAAATTGTTAATTTAATTGCTTAATCTTTTAATACTGAATTTAAATACTCATCAACTCGCTTTTAGGTAAAGCAAAAGAATGTTACTTTTGTGAGAGTAATACCGATGTATGTCTAAATGGAGAAAAAGATAAATTAGCAATTGTATTTTGCGGTAATAGAGAGTGCATAGAATTCTCCGACACAACATCTGAAGACATACATGTTGGCTTTAGGGGATGCACTGAAGAATTTGTGTCCTGCGAGAATAAGGCTCATTGTAAAAAATGCAACGAAACTTTGTGCAATTCTAATAAAATAGTTTAATTTTAATATATTTGTTAAAATGCACTATTACTAATTAATCTGTTTTGACTTGCACATAAACGAAGGGTTTAACGGTTAAACATTCAGTTACTCCGAAAGGGTTTAGGCTCATGAATTGATTAATAGAACAGTTATTTTTTTACTGGCTGATTTTATATTTGTCATAGTTTTATTTTAACGAAATGTAATTCTACAATTAAAATATAATTGTTCAAAACTCATTATATTTTTCTTTAATATACAACCAGAGATAAAAATGTTCAGTCTCTCAGAGTCTCTGAAAGCGAGACTCGAGTCTCCGTCTCTCATCGAGTCTCTCTGGTGACGCTGAGAGAGATTGTCGATAAACTGTCAAAAAAACTGTTTGGCGTCTCTGAACGAAAGACTCGACTCGCTCATAGAGAGATCCTCATTTCGTATCCAGTCTCTGAACGAGAGACTTGAATCTCTGAACGAGAGACTCGAATTTTTGACCGAGATAATACTCGAATCTCTCAATAAGTGGTGTCTCGATAGACATGGTGATAATTTTCTAAGTTCAACATATTTCAGTGATCCCAGTCTTTCTACGAGAGACTCAAGTCTCTCAATTTTTCAGTTTTATTTATTCAGTCTCTCTGGGAGAGATTCTAATCTCCGAATTAACAATTTTATCGTTCGAGTCTCTCATACAGATACTGTGAGAGATCCATAAAAACACCTAGGCAATAACTGAGAGACTGTGAAAGACTGTGAGAGACGCTCTCAGAGACGCTGAAAGACTGAGAGACAAGAGAGAGACTGAAAATTTTTGTCTAGGGATGTTTTATTATTTTCCTAATGATGTCTCCTACTAAGCAGTTAAAAAGAAAGAAAGATGGAAAAGAAGAAACCAACTCTTTCAAGTAGCCGAAACGTAATAGTTTTTCACGATTTTTGATTTAAAAAGGCAAGGAAAGTCGCCCTTGTTTTTTTACCAAATTGACGTTTCTGAACTGACAACCTTTTTCGTTTCGTTTATGTTTCCACACACGTTGAGAGAAGTAGTTAGGTATTTCCGATAGATTATATGTAGGTAATGTAATATTTTTTTGAAAAATTGATTCGCTTATCTATATAAGCAAAAATTCAGATATTATTTTTATTATATTTTCCTGGGGACTCCCCTTCATGTCTTGAAGGACTACTGGCCGACCTATCTCAGATATTTCTTATTGACTGCCATGGAGTCCTCTGTTCTCCTACTCTATCTAATACCTCTTCATTTCTAACCTTTCTTGTCTATATAATTTTCTAAAAAATGGTGCTGGTTTGAAATACTTTTGTGTATTAATAAATTGTATTCAACGNAAACTCCAGTAGACGAACACGTCAGTTAGTTGTTAGTTGTACCATCCCATCTCTAGAATAACATGCTCATGATTTGTAAGACGTCATTGTAAATTGTAAAGGGGGACAAATGTTATTTTTGCCCGGAGAGGCTAAATTGTTATATAGGGCCCTGCTTGTAGCCAATGGAATCTAGGTGCCTGCTCCCTAATCGCTTCTCCCTGTAGATCTTTTCTTCGCTCGGTTATGTTCCTAAAATTCTGTCTCTCAATTTCTTGAGAAAAGCTTTCTTCTCATTCAGAATTTGATGTAAAAGGATTTGCTATCTCAAAGTGTATCTCATTTAATTTATGTTTCAGGTGAAGCTGTGAAATGCTATTCGTGTCTTAACGAAAACAATCCATGTAAAAATGGAAAGGGAGTCAGTAAAACAGTAAATTGTGATAATGGTTGCACAGCCTATCGTTTCACCAGAGATGGCGAGTATAGTACCTTTAGAGGTTGTAAAAATCCCAAGGACGATCGCTGTACTTATAGTGATCATTATATATGTCAGAATTGTAACTCCGATAACTGTAACACCAAGGATTTCAGCTGAATATGTTACATTTAAAATAAAAATCACATGTATCTTTATTAAATTTTGCACCGGGGCTATGAAAATAATCAGTACCTAAATAAAGTTGATGACGTACATTCACCATGTAGATTTTATTGATGTATTAAACCTTGGTTAATCCTAATTCAGTGGGAAAATTAAACGGGTACAATTCCTCATTATTCATAAATTTTGTAGATTATTACGCCCAACACAGTTTGTAAATAAGTAAAAAATTAAAATTTATCACCATTAATAACTATATGTTAGTTATTAGTAAAATCTGTGTACAAAAAATTGATCGATTTCACATAACAAAATAATACGGATATCTTAGGTTGCATGTCATAGAGTGAGGGGTTAGTAAATGATAAGTAGTTGTTGAGTTACAGCCAGTGGTCAAGTGCCATGGATTTCATTTTGAGCATAGACAACTAAGGTGGCCATTTTTGTTCAAATCAAAATCTACTAAATTTTGCAGAAAAATTAGAAAACTTAAACAAATAAATATGACATAATCATCACCCATCAAAGCAAAGACTCCATACCCCCTTTTGTAGTCATGTAATATGTGAATGACTTCTTGTAATCAGTACCTATTCTGTCCAAACTGCTAGATGCGAATAATATCCAAACGCTAATTATGAAATTACGAAACGAGAAACTAGAAAATTAGTAAGCATGCTAACTTCAAGTCAGGTAAGTATGCAGAAATTGTAAAATTGGATATGAAAATCCTAGAAAACTAGAGCAGGGTTCATAATAAACTGCCAATTAACCGCTGACGATGTAAACTAATAATCAGGTGGTTAGATTTTTTTTAAATGACGTTAAATCCTAAATCGGGCTTGAAACTTGATGTGAATATTTCGAAAATTAGCCGTGAAAGTCAAAAATTAGCCGCGATCCGGGAAAAAATCGAATCCTTTGGTCGCTAGTTTAAATCATCAGCGGGTTTTTGGTTTCAGGACTAATTTGGGAAAAAAGTAAGGAAATTTTAGAAAGTCCGGAGATCGTTCGAATAACTCTGGAAACATCCATTTAATAAATATATAAATGTACAAAAAAGCTTTTTTTTGTTTTAGGTAGTTAAAAGATAACCAATTAGTAGATTAATTAATTAATTTATTTAAATATTTTAAATAATACCAACNACAAAATCAAAAATGAAATTTCTAGGAGAAATTTCAGAACCCTTCGAAATCAAGACAGGAGTAAGACAAGGGGATGGACTATCACCACTACTGTTTAACTGTACACTTGAAAAAATTATGAGAGAATGGAGGAAAAAAATGGAAACAGAAGGAATACAGAAAGTCAAGATAGGAAGAAAGAAAGACGGTCTGGAGTTCGATTGTTTGGCATTTGCAGATGATCTAGCGATCTTGGCTGTTAGCTACGAAGACGCAGTAAAGCAAATTAATATCCTAAAGGAAACAGCTGAAAGAGCAGGGCTCCTCATATCTTTCGAGAAAACAGAATACATGACAAATGTTGAGCAAGGCCCCAAATTCCTTGAAACTATATACGGGAAAATAAAGAAAGTCGCAAAATTCAAATACCTTGGAGAAATAATCCAATCGAATGGATTAGATAAAGAAGCCAACATGGCAAGAACAAGAAAAATGGAAACCGCGTTCCATTTGACAAAAAATGTCTATAATAAAAAGTCCATCTCTCGAAATACGAAACTGAAACATTACGACACTGTGATTAAACCAGAAGGCTTATACGCTTCTGAATGCCTGGCGATGAACACAGCCAAACAGTTAGATGAACTCGAGAAGAAGGAAAGGAAGGTAATTCGAAAAATCCTCGGACCAAACTATGAAGATGGTAAATGGAAACTCAAAAGTAACAGGGAACTATACGAGAAAACAGAAAGAATAACGGACACAATGAGGAAGAGGAGAATAACATTCTATGGACACTTGAGCAGAATGAATGATGATAGACTAACAAAACAATTATTTGATTATTTTGATAAAAACCCAAAAACGCATATGCCATGGTTCAAGGGGGTCAAGTCTGACCTGGAGGAAATGGGGATAACAAGGATGGATGTGGATAACAGAGAGGTATTCAGATCAAAGGTTAAAAACTTTGTTGGTTTTCAAGCTAAGCTAAAGAAGAAGACAGGAGGTGTATGGACAGAAGAAAGACGAAAGCAACAAAGCGAAAGGATGAAGGACTACTGGAGGATAAGAGCAAGAGAGAAAAGAAAATCATGAATAGTTGTTTTCCGTGGTCCCTAGATGGCCGGATTCGAAAGAAGAAAGAATTGCTAAGGTCGTTATCACCATAAGGTCCTCAGTCCTAAGACTCATTAGATACGCACCTCCATTCTTTCCTATCCTGCGCTAATCTTCGCATTTCCTTAAAACTAGAAAAACCCACATCCTTAACTATTTGTGAACAGTAATCTAATCTAGGTCTACCTCTACCCCCCCTAACTTCCGTTTCTGCCTCTAATATGTCTTTGACTAGACCTTCATGCCTGAGAAGGTGTTCTACAAACCTATTTCGCCTATTTCTTATTGACTTCCATAGAGTCCTCTAATACTTCATCATTTCTAACCTTCTCTATCCTCGGTATCTTTATTATTCGCCTGTAACATTTCTAACGCTTCTAATCTTTTCTTTTCCGCCGCGCCCACTGTCCATGTTTCGCACCTGTACAGCGCCGTCGAAATTATCAGAAGTTAATCACGATTTTAAACTTATTTGTTCTCATTAGCACACCATGGGTAGGACCAAATCATAGTTGTTCCGTGAAGACATATTGATATAATGTTAACGTACAGTGCAGTTTTTATTTTATTACGAATTACAACAATTACTAAAGCTCAATAAGCAGATTTGTCATGTTATAGGTATGTTCCGATTTTATTTTGGTTTTCCTCTTTTATTTCCTTTCACTAAGTAAGCAAGCGTTTTACGCTTTTAGGATCAGAATCATTTAGTTAAATTAAAGTAACGAGATGGCTTTACTCAAATTGTTAGGTTAGGTTAGGTTAGGTTAGGTTAGAACCGACTTTGACTTATATTAACACGTATAGAAACGTGCCCAATTACTGAAGCACTTATTTAATTATATTTAACATGACTAATAATTTGTTTCAACAAGTATTAGCAATCACCATTAACTATATTAAATGCAGCGCTTTAGTTAATTCATGCATTGTTTTACAATAGTTGAAGCGAGGAAGTGCTACAGATGCTCTGGCGACGACAATCTGTGTTTAACAGGTAAAGGAGGTGACATTTCTACTGTGGACTGTGGAAGTAAGAATTGCATAGCTTATCTTTTCACAAGGGATGATGAATATGTTGCATTCAGGGGATGTCAAGAAAGTTATGATAGTTGTAACCTCAAACTGTCATGTCAAGCATGCAATAAGGACCTTTGCAACACCAAAGATTTAATAGCCTATTAGGTTGGCGTAATAGAAAACAAAATAATTTACTTTTGTTTGCTTATGGTGTAGACACTTAAAATAAAATAAAACTGGAATATTAATTAGTATCATTTTTTGAATTGTTATACGTATACCTATTATTCTAGTGGAAATTTAAAATTGTACCTTCGAAAAAGAAAACAGAAGTGAAGTGTTTATTTATCCAACTTCATCAGCAGATGTTGTTGCTATAAAAATCAATACTTTTGAAAATTAACATTACAGACTGTTTCAAACATTAAAAACGATTATAATAAATAAAAAAGAAGACTGCTTCAGTATTGGTATTGATCTTTGCTTATTGGGTTTAAGTCTTGATCTTGCTCAAATACTTCTAGTCTTGGTCTTGCTGAATTAATTTGTTACTTAGGTTTTTTTTAAATAATTCTTCTAAGCACATTTTTTTCTATTTACCGACACAATAATTGTCTTCAATGCTGAAATTTTTGTCATACATGCAAGTTTGTCATGACTTTTAAGAAAAATAGTGTCGATAGTTGTAAGAATTATGAAAAATCGAGAACTTACTCTTCCTCCAATATATAAATAGACCCTTCTTCCAACGCATACATTGATCTTTTAGTGAACGACATAGTACAAGGTGTTTGAAAGAAATAAAAAATATCGAAAAAAACATTAGTTTGACTCCATATTTCAACCATATTCAGACAAAGAAACAAAGAACACATACTCCGGGGACATTCTTCTAGATCCCTCTTTATTACATTTAGTGTTAAAATATAATCTAGGCCTACCTCTACCCCGATTAACTCCCGTTTCTGTTTCTAATATGTCTCTGACTAGACCTTCATGCCTGAGAAGGTGTCCTACCAACCTATCTCGCCTATTTTTTATTGACTTCTATAGAGTCCTCTGTTCCCTTATTCTTTCTAATACCTCTTCATTTCTAACCTTTTCTACCCACGATATCCTCATCATCCGCCTATAACACCACATTTCGAACGCTTCTAACCTTTTCTTTTCCGCTGCTCCCACTGTCCACGTTTCGCACCCGTACAACGCCGTGCTCCAAACATACACCTTTAACAACCTTTTTTGAATTTCTAAATTAACCGTTCGCGAGCATAGAAGTGACTTCTTTTTATTAAAGGCGACACGACCCTGCGCTATCCTCTGCTTTATATCCCTACTACTCCTTCCATCCTCACTTATCTGACTTCCTAGGTATCTAAAATCAGCCACTTCTTCTAATTTTTCGTCTCCTATCTTTATATTCGCTCTTTCCCTACTTTTTCTTCCCTTCCATACCAGTATTTTTGTTCTATTTTTATTTATTTTCATACAATACTGTTTTGTCAATACCGCTTCCATTTTATTTAAATCATTTTATTTATTATCTGCAAATCTAAGCATATTTTGCCTCTGTATATCTATGCCTACAGTAGTACTGTCTTTAATAATGTTGATCGCGTCTTCGATGTATAGATTAAAAAGTAGCGATGACAGTGTACAGTCTTCCTAATATTTACTTCTCTACGTTGCAGTCCCATCTCTATAATTGCCTGTTGCTCTTTATACAATCTAAGTATCACTCTTCTATCTCTGTAAACATCCCTGCATTTTTTAGTACATATTTTTAACATCTTGTCCCATTTCCATTGTCAAAAGCTTTTTCTAAATCTACAAATCCTATGTACGTACTCTTACCTTTTCTATCGTTTTCTCTATTGTTACCCGTAAAGCTAGAATGACACCCCGCGTTACTGTATTTCTTCTAAACCCAAATTGATGTTCCCATAATAGTTCTTCTGCCCTTTTTTCCATCCGAGTCTAGTTAAGACGCATGGGAAGTTAAGCTAATTGTTCTAAATGTCTCACACCCATCCGTGCCTCTCTTTTTAGGTATGGTTAACTCATAAATCCATAAAAATTAAATAAACATTCGCGTTAATATAAAGTAATAATATATGAAATTGAAAAGTAAAAGGGGGTGGATTTGGGCTTGGATTTTTTGTTTTGGATTTTGTGAAACCTCGTTACGGTAAACATATCCACCATTCTATCTTCGGTTAGTTCCTAGAGGAATTAACTCACATATAAAAAGTAAGATGAAAAATAAAAAATTAATAGCTTCGATTGTATGCTTTCTACGTTTTTCCATCTAATAATGGAGTCCAATATAACATCCTGGTATTTATTAGATACTTTCTATTCGTTTTAATTTATAATTTTATAACCCAAAACACATTAGAATTACTATACCTACACAAATTAACTAACACGGCCAATTTGTTTTCATATTGTTTTAAATCGTAAATACAAAACAATTGGAATATCCACTCAACAAATTTACGCAATCATCACAATGGCGTCTAAGGACTAGACATCGCATAAAAGTCCCCAAAAATAGAACATGAACTCCTTTTATCAATAAACAATGTTTATTATTTATTTGTATTACAAGCTATCGGTTAACGCGATCTTTTCCCGGTAATATGCAAATCTGATAACAACAAACATTAGGTAAAGTACCTCCATGTCTCCGAAACAGATATAAAAACTCGACGTACATTAAGTTTTATTAATAGTATCACAGTTTCGTGGTTGCTGACTTCGTAGTGCTGAAAATAAGCTTGCAAAATAGATATTACCGTTTTGTCTCTAGTAGTTTAATAATAATCTGAAATATGAATAAATTATTAGTTTTTGCACTTTTTGCCGCCATCTGTATTGTCTTTTCTTCAGCCGCACCAATGGAGAGATCAGAAGATGGTAAGAGAATAGATTAATTACTTTACATTTTCTCCTAATTTTGATTTCAATATTGCCGATATAGGTAAAGTTTCTTTGCTTGTTTGTTTATTCCATTGTTCTGCTTAATTTCTGTATGGGGTAGGTTTTTAAAAGTTCCTTATCGCGTGTTTCGACGACAAAGGGGTGCCAGGTGAATTTCTTTTTTTTTTGCTGAAATTTCTTTATATCTCTTCGGATATTCTTATGGCGAAAAGGGGATGTTTAAATAAAAGAAAAATCATCTGTTCAAAACGTTGGTAGATTCATATACAAGTTGCATATTCTGTGTTGGTGTCTGCAAAATTCTTCTTTTGAAATTTTGACAAAATAGTCGAAGATGCTTTCGTTTTTCCTTTCTCTCTTAGAAAGAGTAATTTTCATACTAAAAATTAAGGAACAGAATTTTCAATAAAACTAATTTAAATAAAAAGTGAAGCACTTTTTACAGAGGCATTGCAAATTTATGCACTTCCTAGAGCTCACACCTAAGAAAGTTTGTAAAAATGTAACTGTTGAGACTTCAAACAATATGTTTCTTATGTCAACATTAGGCTATCTCAAAAACTTTTTCAGGTGTGGGTCCAATGTGAGTTTATACATATTATGCACCTATCAATATAATATGTACACATAACTTTGGAAACTAGAAATAAATATTTTGCTAATATATTTTCTTTTTATTTAAAGAAGCTGAATCAGAGTTGGGAGAGGCCAGAAAATATTGTGATAATACAAACTGTAAATATGATTGCCTTTTCGCAGGATTCAAAACAGGACGATGTAAATACGGTGGCTGTGTTTGTGAATAAGATTCTAATTCTAACGGCGATTGAAATGAAATTTGAATTCCTTTATTGTTGTAACAATTTTATTAACTTTAAATTTAGATGTAGGTAATGTTTTATAATATATGTAGGCACAACCGTTTAGTGCTATTGAAACAATTTCGTTTTATTTTTGCTTTAGCATGAGGAAAAATTCATTATAAAAGCAAATATCACTTTCAAAAAAAGAAACAAAACAGGACTCTCTTTAAAATAAAAACAGACAAACGTGGGGCTGGGCGATTATTAAATTCAGTAATTGATTGTCGACTCTAAGAAAATTATTGATTATTGCGATTAATTGGAATAAACAATTATGTCGATTATTTTTCGATTAGGTGCAGATATATAAGTAAATAATAAATCTCGCTAATAATTATAACAAAATATTGTACATAGACACGGTGATTGTTGATCGTTTTTAGGAGAATTTGCTGTTATAAAATCGAATTAGGCTTTAGTAAATTATCCATTTCTATAATTTTATATTGACCTAAAGTACCTATTAATTCTGAGTCTTTCACTAATTTTATTATTACTTTTGGATCTTTATACGTGATAGAAATAATGTAATCGATATGCATATATTAAATTAAGTACCTTAAGTAAACAATATATTACGTACGAAAGGACAAAAGTACCTTATTCCGTCTCGGGTGTGAATTGCCACCCGAGTCGAAGAGGAAGGCGGAAAACTTTCTTCCTGAGGTTCGTATAGGTACGATTTTGTACCATACTGCTGCCCTGAAAGTACGATTTCTCCTGATTTCAAGAATGAGAAATTGCATCACAATCCCTCAGGTAAGACATTTACTGGTCATTATGAAGGCATTTTAACATCTTCTGGCTGGAAACAACACGGAGGATATATTAAATACTTTCTCAGTAATAAGTAAATGCTTTCGTCCTTGAAGCCAGGGAAAGATACTGTACTTTATAAGGGTGTGGTAAAAAACAACGTACACATAAATGTGTGTCATACGTAGAAGAAAATAAACAATAATAAAAAAGCTACATAATATTTTTTATTGTACAAGCAACAAATATTGTAATCAGATAAAGTTTTTCAATATTGCAACTGATGTATACCTAATGCATATATATATATTAAGGATCACTGAAATTTGTTTTATGAAAATTTATTTATTTAATGTATGTGCATATGTATATATTTACCAATGTACCTACTATAATAAACATGTTTATTCTACATATATTTGTGTTAGTTATTTACTAAAGACCTAATTAAAATTTCTAGAAAATATAAAATGTAGTTTCATAATAATTAATGGGAACATGTCCCATAACACGTGGTTGTAAAAATCTTTACCACATTTTCTAAATTAAAAATTAAAAAGGAAGACTCACCCCCTAAGTACCACAAAAAACTCAGTCTCAGTCAGGCAGTCCGCGTTGATAATGTCCACATATGAAGTGGGCGAAACACGTGTCCGCTCAAAAAAGTTTTTTGTGATAATTAGGGGTGAATATTCCTTTTCAATTTTTAATTAATATTTACCACAGTCTCCTCTTTCTACTTAGAGAAGGAGATGCCTAAGCGTGGCCTACAGATAGGAATCAAACATCCTGTGCTTCCCACATCCTTGTCTATTTCATGGTCATACTGTAGCACGTCGGTGAGTGGTTACTAGGGGCGTTCTCATACCTTATGCGTATGTCTATACTCACTTGTAATTTATTGCCTATTTGCTCATCTTATTTCGACTTGCCTATACATACCTAATCCAGAAATTGATATATCTACATGTTCCATTGAAAATCTGTTTTAAAGAATGTTAAATATGTAATAGATGTTTATTTAATGTAATATATGTATGTATTCAATCTATGATGTACCAAGATTGCAATTAAATAAAGTCTCTATAAATCGTTAGCGTTCCAATTGAAGAAAGACCATTTTTTTTTTTGGGTTTATCATGTACCTACACATGTAATAATACTATTTAACTAGGGCAACTTTTTCAGGCTGTCGTCAATGATAAAAAGTGAGTCTTCCTGCGACGAATCGTGGATACCATTGAGTATAAAACGGGAAAAACAAAAAAGGAGAAGGAAGTCCCCAAAAATCTGGAGCTGTGCCAAATGCAACGCGAAATTTGATAAGAGCACCCAATTTCGCGACCATCGGAAGGTACACAAAAAGCCAGTGTATGACGATTCACAATACAGCTACACGTACGATCCTGTAAAGGAAACCTACAACTGCGTGACGTGCGACTTGGAAGTACCTTCCAAAATCGAAATCCAACAACATGTTAAAAGCCATAAAGAACATTTTACCTGTGACATTTGTAATTTACAATTCGACGAACCGTACAAGTACGCTAAACATAGCATCATCCACTCGGACGACAAAACCTTCAAATGCCCGATGTGCGAATCGTTTAAGACCAAAGCTCGGACTTCGTTACTCGCCCATATCAACACGTTCCACCTTCACAGATATTTCTACAGGTGCACCACGTGCGGCAAAGGTTTCAACGATTGCGTCCAGTTCAAAGAACACAAGAACGTGCACGACGGGGTGAAACCTTTCAAGTGCGTCGTTTGCGAGAAAGATTTTACATTCTCAAATTACTTATTCGCCCATCAAGTGAGAAATCATAAGGTTACGATCGATGGCGTCATCGGAACGAATCAATGTCACATGTGTTTACGAAGATTCGCCAACATACGGACTTTGCAGAAACACATGAAGAAACACGAAAACGAAAAGAAGAAGAAGCCCGAGAAGAAACACTTGTGCGATATTTGCGGGAAAGGGTACGCAAGAAAAGCGAAGTTCGTAGTTCACTATCGAAATCATACCGGTGATAAACCTTTCAAGTGTTCTTATTGCTCCAAACGGTTTACCCAGAAGGAATACGTCGTGCTTCATGAACGAGTCCACAGCGGGGAAAAACCTTACGCCTGTGAATTTTGCGGGAAGTGCTTCAATCAAGGGGCGCCGCTCAAAGTACATATACGAACGCATACGGGAGAGCGCCCCTTTAACTGTGAAATTTGCGATGCTCGGTTCACTTCCAAGGGTTCGCTAAATTTACATTTCAAAAAGTGTCCCGGAAAATACTGGTACCAATAGGCTTTTGTGATCGCCATTAAATTTTATTTAGAATGTTGATTTTTTTTATATGCCTGTATAATAAAATGCTTTTTTCGAATGCTGTAGCTATTTCTTATAAATAAGGAATTTATTTAACTGAGTATGTAGGTAGTTGTTTTCTCCCTTACTAACGTTTAACCCTTTTTTTCCAGAAACGTAACGATCAAGAAAGAAGATTCGGAAAACGAAGATTGGAAACCGCCTACAACTTCTAGGTTCAAATCTTTGAAATCGAATTACAAGTCAAGATGTAGCAACGATTGGTCACTGGTTAAAAAGAAACAAACCAGAATGAGAAGAATATGGAAATGTACCAAGTGTCCCGAAGAGTTCGATACAAACAGAAAGTTGCGCGTTCATAGAAAAATCCATCAAAAAAACAAATACGAAGAAACGAAGTACAGCTACATTTTGGACACGGTAAAAGACATTTACTGCTGCATGACTTGTGACGTAGAGTGCACTACAAAAGAAGACATTCAAAGACACGTGTTGACTCACGAGGAGCATTACACGTGCGAGATATGCAACTTAACATTTTCCGAACCTTACAAATACGCAACACACATGTTCGTTCATAGTAAAGATCATTTCTTCAAGTGTCCGCTTTGCGACTCTTACAAAACCCCGAAGAGAACCTGCTTGTTGTCACACATCAATACTTTTCACTTGAAAAGGTTTATTTACACTTGTTCCACCTGCGGCAAAGGTTTTAACGATTGCGTCCAGTTCAAAGAGCACAACAACATTCACCAAGGGATTCGTCCGTTCCAGTGTATAGTTTGTGGTAAAGATTTCCCGTTTTCGGTCTACCTTCACACCCATCAGGTGCGAAACCACAGGGTTTCGATCGATGGCGTCATCGGTACGAATCAGTGTTATGTGTGCATGCGCAGCTGTGCCAATCCGCAGACCCTCAAGAGACACATAAAGAAACACGCAAAAGAGGGCGAAAAGGGCGGTCGCGAAAAGAAGCACTTGTGTGACATGTGCGGGAAGGGATTCGCGGTCAAGTACAAGTTGATTTTACATTATCGCACCCATACGGGGGTGAAACCTTACAGCTGTTCGTACTGTGCGAAGAGCTTCACTAAACGTGACTATTTAGTAATGCACGAACGAATTCACAGCGGGGAAAAACCGTATTCTTGTGAGTATTGCGGTAAATGTTTCAACCAAACCGCCCCTCTCCGGGTGCACATACGCAGTCATACGGGAGAACGCCCCTTCGTTTGTCACATATGTAACAGTGGGTTTATTTCGAAGGGCTCTCTTAATATTCACATTAAGCGGTGCACCGGAAATGATTACACAGTATAAAAGGAAATGTATTATATCTCTTCAGAATAAATTGATTCATTGATTGATTATAATTGCGACACTTGTGTGACAATACATCGTGGTTTCGTTTTTGATTTGAATGAAATTTAGTCTTAATTTCGTAAGTAACCTTCGCTATAGAATAAACAATTGTTCTTCGTAGTTAAATTAATTGTGTAATTATTCTACTTGATCAATATATATCAATAAAACGTAATATTGTTTAAATAATACTTACCACAAGAACAGTAACATAACACACCTTATCAATTCCACGATCGCCTTATACCTATAAGGGATGGCTTTGTATCCAAAAAACGAACAACTGTGTGTATGTATAAAAGGAANTGCAGGTATATTGCCATTAAATTTAGGGAAAACTCGAATTCAGGCGACACAACATACATTCATACATAATTACCCGCTAGAACCACTCAAAGAAGAAATTTTAAAGGTAAAAGACAATTTGGATCTTGTTAATAAGTTATTTACAGGAAAGAAAGATATTAAGTCTAAACTTGAATTAAGTTATTTAAAACTAGAGTACGAACATTTAAAGAAACAGGTATTAACATTATATCCCCACATTTTTGATATAAAATCAAACAGGACCAAGCGAGGTTTAATAAACGCTCTAGGCACAGTTTTCAAATTTGTATCAGGTAATTTAGACGCAGGAGATGGCGAGAGATATGATCAAGCCATTAATAATTTAAAGGTAAATCAACAAAATATTATAAGTCATTTTAATAAACAACTTTCGATGAACAAGGAACTAATAAATAATTACGAAAACGTACTTAAAAACATTTCTAGTAATTTTGATATAATACAACGTTCAATAAATGCAGCAGTAGAACACTCCGACCTTTTTAATACAATAAACATGTTGAAATTAACTATAGTCGAATTAAAAAATTTAATCACGGAAATTCAAACAGGAATCAGTTTCGCACTAATGAATCATTTACACCTCAGTATAGTTAGCGAAGATCAGATTTTATTAATAAAACAAAAATTAACCAAAGTTCATGGTGAGAACAAATTTTATTCGAATGATAACATTTTGTTTACACAGACAATTTCTGTAGATTTTTATATTACTGAAAAACATATCGTATTTTTACTACATGTCCCAATTTTAAATGAAATAACGTTTAACCTATACCATTTATATTCAGTACCCACCGTATCCAACACCACCATCATACCTCCTACATCATATGTAGCCATTCATGAAAACAATATTTATTATTTAAAACGAAAATGTAATTTAATTCAAAAACAGTATTTTTGTTCAAACGATGATATAGAGAAAAACTATCAACAGGACACATGTATTAAAAATTTATTACAAATTAAAGATGATCCCAAATGTAGACATATTCCGGTTGAAATTAATGACATCTTAGTGGAAACAATTAGTGACGAAAGATACCTTGTAATTCTTCCGAAAGAAACACCAATTCATATTAAATGCGAAACAGAACAGATACACCGATTGAAAGGAGTATTTTTAATAACACTTCCTTATTCTTGTTCATTGATAGCCAAAGACTTTGTTTATATAAATTTACAAGAATCAATACCTGAAAGACCAGTATTTTTACCACCATTATTTGAAAAGCCTATAAATGTCAAACCTATACGATTAAACCTCAAGGCAGTTCGTCTTGACGAATTAGCAAAATTAACTCTTCAGACTACCGATCCAATTGTGTATTTACCAGATGAAAGTTTTTGGACAAACGGTTCAAATATATGTTTAATTGTGTTATTTATAATCATTGTAATTATATGTACTTTTGTATTTTGTTATAATAGAAATAAGATTAAATGTTTTAATAAATTTAAGAGACCAGAGGTCAGGGAAAAAGATAGTTCACAAGCGTTTCCTTTACCTCAAAGAACAATGTAAATTCGTTGCCGAAATTTTTTGGGCTTCACCCCTAAAATTTCATTTTATGGGCGGAGGAGTTATGATATCTAAAATACTTTATAACAATTATAAGACGCAACGTCAGCATGCAACGCATGTAAGAATGGTAATCTCTTCAGGGAATTGCATTGTTCTGATATTAATTAGCTTACTAAGATATTGAATAAGAAATGTAATGTTAATAATTGTGATTAATTAAAATCAGTTGTTGTTCCACTGTTAACCTGTTAACATCTTGATTGAATTATAATTAACGCACATAGTGTATTATTGTTTTCTTTCAACGGGGCAGCAGCTCATGTTTTTCTTAGCCAGTCGAATTTCAATCTTAAAAATAAAAAGCGTTTTTAAAAAGTAAATTCGGCGGCAGAAAACATTAACTAAGTCTGCAAAACTAAATTTTATTCCATTAAATATCAATGCCGATTCACTTAAAATACAATTACTACATTTATAAAGGGAAGATTTGTGGAGGTAAATATTTACGAGTCTAAGTGTCTTTTGATATCAAGTGGACAGCTATAAAAGGGATGCCCATGCCCCACTAATTTTCGACATCTGGAATAGTCTTCCGGAATGTTTTTAAATACTATTTGAGTCTTGTAAAACCCGAATTAAAACTTCGTGGCTCTTTGAAATTCATGAAACAATATTTTTACTGCTCTTCCAGCTTAAAATAAGTTTGTTGATTCCTGATATAGGCGAACTGTTACAATTTCTGTCGCTTGTTGGAATATCAGGTTTTAATTAATGATTTTTATCACCTTGAAGACTTTTAGTCACATTAAAGGCTCATTTCAACGGTTTGAACTCAACCATCTCGTTGGAAATCCCCAACCAAGAATTCAAATTTCATTGGTAGACTGTTTAAACAACCTTTTAAACGCAACTTAATATGATTTCCACGGATATTGGTGAGGATAGTATTTAATGGAATGCTTGTCAAAGCGAAGATATGAACCCTTAATCGTACTAGCGTGCCAGGTACCCGGTTATCCGCTACGCTTCGCATTTTTGTTCAATTGAATTAATTTAAATAAAACTATTTATTGTTAAATATACCAAGTGTTGTTACTTCATCATACCTTTTGTAAAGTGTGTTTTTTTTAATTTTTTTTGGGGAAGTAATAAAAAAGCAATTGAATTATATAATATAATTCCTTCTAAAAACCAATTTATTTTTGTTCATAAATAATTTAGTATTTTGACCTCTAAAGAAGATAATACCACAAAGTTCAACCAATTTTAGTATTAACGACCTTATGATGATGATTAATATAATGGGTAGAATACGTTTGCAATAAAACAGAGTAAAATATGACAAAAAGTAGGCAACTTTGAGTATCGATATCTCGGTGAATTTTCACCATACAAAAAGGAATAAAAGAAGAAAAGGTGTATGTATTCAAGGGCTGTTTCTTTTAATATTTATGTAAACTTAAATTGCCCAAGAGAAAGCTATAGATGATTTCTATTTTGTTTTGTAATTATGTTCGATACTAAAAATGGTAAAAAGAAAATTAGTTGAAGTATTTCGATGGAAAATTCAATTTTCTAAAAAAAATACCGTTGTCAAAATATCGAAAATTGCTTCGTTTTTGAGTTATTTGGAGGAAACTGAAAGAATTGCCTTTCTTAAGATTACTTAAAAACATACTCTTAGACTGTCATTTTATCATTTTTAGAGGCCAAACCACCATGTTCAATCACAAAACCCCTTTAAGGCAATTGTTTCATACTAAAATCTCTATAGCTTAATTAGTAACTACCCCAATACCAGCCTGCAAAAATATATTAACGGTATGTAATTAATTGATTAACTTCACAAAAAGTGTGTTATTCATAATTGATTTCATGATTACATTTAGTATAACTCTATCAACATTAATTTCTAAACATTTCAGTAATAAATAGTATATGTATAATGTATATGCATGTATATTCTATTCATTATTTTTCGCTTATTTTTTTTTCACAAAAGGGGTTAGAAGTTATTTCTTAAAAAAAAGGCGATTAACGTTTCGTTCTGGTTGTAGGGCTTTCTCAACGCTAGTTTTTTAAAGTTAATGGGGATGCAATGCAGATAGAATAACTTTTTTATAAAGGTAGTACATATTAATTGACAAACTAAAAGCTAATTCAATGGGTACTTCTATATAAAAAAAAACAAAATATATCAACTAACATTCACAAAATTATGACTAAACAGTTGAAGGACTAATATATTAAATAAATAAACAAACAGAACCCTACGTGGTGACACTCAAATGATACAATTAAATAACAAAAAATTTGTTCGCAATCATACAAAATTCTATATTTAGTGTTTTTATCTACGCATAAATACTTTGGTTTGTAAATTAATATGCACCTTTACAAAAATGTTGTTCCATTTGCCTTAAATCTTGAGGAAACCCTACAATTAAGGCAAAACGTTGGCGGCTGTTTTTTAAAAAACCTCTTAACCTTTTTTGGTTTTGATTTCACACTGAATAAATAGAATATAATTAAAATATTGACTCGATAAAGTTAGTCATTTTTTATTTACATCTGTTCTTTGTTTACATACTGATTACCCGTGAAAGTTCGCAAAAAAAAACATGTAAATCCCTCACTGCACATATTGTTTATTTGTTTTACAATAAGGTCAGCAGAGTTTCTCAGTAAAATGCAAATCTGATAAGATGCCACAGTGAATAATAATAAACGTTAGGTAAAGTACCTCGATGTCACCGAAACAGATATAAAAACTCGCCGTTTGTCCAATTAGTATCAAAGCTTCGTGGTTGCTAAGCATATAAACTTGCAAAAGAAATAATAATAAACGACATTATGAATAAATTATTAGTTTTCGCACTTTTCGCCGCCATCTGTATTGTCTTTTCTTCAGCCGCACCAATGGAGGAATTAGAAGATGGTAAGACAATAAATTAATTAGAATTTTTCATAATTTTGATTTTATTTGTTTGCTTGTTTGTTTATTTCATTGATTAGCTTAATTCCGCTATGAGGCTGATTTTCATAATTATTTTATTATTATAAGAATTATATTTCACATGAAACGTTTTGAAAAATACAAAAATTCTATTACTTGTTTTTAATTATTATGTTTTGTTATAATAATTTGTTTTTGAGTGTTCGTAAACATAAATGAAAAAGAATAATATATTTAGTAGTTTGCATTTTTAAATATTAAGCATAATTTATCCAATATATATATCGATAAGTACTTTTATTTTTTTCTATTTTCTTTCTTTTAGCTCCCGAACCTTCTCCGCGAGTTGCACGGGCTGCAGCTTGTAAAGATAGAGACTGTAGTCTAGATTGTATTTTCAAGGGATATAGAACAGGACGTTGCAGGAATGGCAGATGCGTGTGCGGTTAAACAACAAAAACTCTGAGAAAGTTTGCTAATCATCATTTTATATTATCAAATTTTTGTTGTTAATTACTACTATTGTGAATTTTGTACATTTTTTTCATCCAAACAATTCAAATAAATAATGAAAAATTTCACTGATTTTTAATCAAACTGGAGAAAATTGCTTTATCCAATAAGGCTGTAATCGCCCTTTTGGGAACTTAAAATTTTCATAAAATGAATGTAAAAATATAGCAAACTTCTGCTGATTAATTCGTATCAGTCGAAAAATTACATATGTATCTCGTATTAACTTTATACCATCTGTCGATAGGAATGTTACATATACCAAGAAGACAACGTAGATCATGAGGCAAACAGTTTTGGTTTGATCGTGAAACTTAAATCATATTGGTCTATATAGTTTACTAGCTTTTTCCCCGCGGCTTGGCTTGCAGAAATTAATATTGTTTCTCCATAAAACCTTTTAACTCCCACTTGATCCCTCCAAAGTTTTCATTTTATGTAATGTCGCCATCTTAGATTTACAAAACACCTATTTGCTTAATTTCAACATTGAGCAACCTTCTAGTAAATCCGAGTACAAATAAAATATACCCCATGGAAACGTTGCAACCGCTTTTCATTTGATTAATAATGTCAAACAGCATATATACCAAGTTTCAAGTAAATTCAACAACAAATAAAGTATGTCCCAAACAAAAATTGCAATACCTTTTTACCCCCCCCCCCTTAGGAGGTTGAATTTTTTAATATGTCGAGATAGGTCTTTCAGAAATTAAATTACAGACCATTAGAAACCAAGTTTCAAGTAAATCTGACCACAAATAATGTATGTTCCATTTAAATATTGCAATTCCTCTTCACCACTCCCCCCTCCAATGGGAACGGGGGTCCTATGTCCGTTTCCCGGTTGTAGGCTACCTCCCCAACAATTTTCAGCCAAATCAGTTCAGCCGTTCTTGAGTTATAAATAAAAAAAATTTTTGTTTCCTTTTTCAATGAAAAATACCTTGGTGGACAGTCTAAGTAACAAAGTCAAGTTACAAACTAAATCCAATATTTTATATTTCATTTAAAATTAATAAATATAGTCAAATCCGGTTTTATCGTACTGATCCAAAGATCACTAATAACTGTATGAATTAAACCACAAAAAACAGGAACTACAAAAATGTTGTGTTAGTTACTAAAAGCAAACAAAATCAAATTTAAAAGTAATTTAATGTGCATCGTTGAATATTAATTCTTATTTTAATAATTTTTTTGATATATACATATAAAATTCTGCTAATTCTTTGTAGGTTTTGGTTATTTGGGGTCAAGTGTAGGTACTAATGATATATTTAATACTAAAACTCAAAGGTATTAGATAACAGAAATTTACATCATTTCGATAATGTTCAAGAGGCATTTATAAAATAGTTTGTCGCTATAAGAACGTAAAAGTAATAGGTAATTAAAAAAAGGTAGCAATGAATAAGGCTGTTTTAATTATTGTTTTAACATTCGCTGTTCTTTTTTCGGAGATTTTTTGCGACGAACATGTGGAAAAAGGTAAAAAATTTTCTTAATTGTAAATGCATTTCTCTAATAATAACTTAAATAAATAATAACAACTTCAATAAGTATTAATGTACTCTTAAACGAGCACATTTGAAATAAATAGAAAATTTAGTAAAATGCTAACTGCAGTTAAGTTTAAGTTTATAATAATTCCATTTATAGCATTGGTTATTATTTAATGGAGAAATATTATAACACTTTTGTTTAGTTTTGTATGTTAGTCCTGTTAACAACGTTTGTTATAGCGATGAATACGGTTTTAACGATGCAAATTAGACTCTCGATAATCTTTTAAATTCGGATATAACGGCTGCGCGGGATTTTGTTCAATTCCGATGGTTTGCCTAACGCTGTCGCTTATATGCAAATCAGACTCCATAATCTTTTAAATCCGGATATAACGGCTTCGCGTTTAATTTCGATAGTCTGCTCAACGCTGTCGTTATATCATACCTTGTAAAATAAATTGGATTAGGTACTGATTAACGAGGTATTTATTTGTGTTTCATACGTTATATACACTGGCCTTTATGCCTGTAAATTCGTTGTCCACCTGGATTTCGGATATAAACTGTGATTTTAACACGTGAGGGTGTAACTGGTTTGTTTCGTTAACTCAAATTGATACAAGACTATTTTGACCCTATAAGGGTAGATTTTCGAAAAATACTTTCTTAGTACATCTCCTCATCCCCTTAGGAACATATTTTTCAAATTTCATGTTTCTATCTTAAGCGGTTTACATTGTACGTCAATAAACTGCATATAGCGTCCGTCGATTACAATAACCGAATTTCCTCGGTCCTATTTCCTTATGCTATTCATTATTATAATCTAAAAAAAATCTAATTTTTAGTTGATGCAGATATTCGAACGGGACCTACTGGAGGTTCCTGCAACACAAGGGGCTGCAGTTTGCAATGCATCTACAAAGGATACAGTACAGGATACTGTTTCAATGGACGTTGCAAGTGCAAAGGGAAATTTCAAGGTTGATACAAATAATTATTACTACGTCATTGCCGTCTTAGCATTTTGTGAATCGTTTATATAATAAAAATATTTTGTTTTAACTGTATCTGCAATGCGTTATTAGGCTTTTAAAACATATTTTAAATAAATTAAATACAAACTTTTGTTTTCTTTTTTGTTCTAGTAGTAGATCTCAGGCAAGTATGTTCAGAATTTTTTACCTCTGAATAGGTATGTACAGGGTGTCTCACGGTGATTCTTAAAACAGATAATATAAGTTTAATTTATGCACTGGAGGAAGGGCAACATCTCGAGTTTTTATAACTCACAACTATCGACACTATTTTCTATAAGTCATGACTAGCTCACATGGATGACCGAAAATTTAAGATAATTATTGAGCCGGTAAATAGAAAATTTTATGCGTATGCATTAGATTAAATGAGCAGGACCAAGGTTTAATACGTAAAACTAAGACCAAGATTGAGACTATATCAGCAAGATTTACAATAGTACGTTTGTTGAGGTTTTTTCGTTATTTACTATAGAAAGAAGAGAATAAAACTTCGAAAGGTACTGGGTGTATAGTCATAATTTTTGTATGTTGCCATTAGGGCAAATAAAACAGTAAAAAACAAAGGTCAATGCATTGGCCGGGAATCGAACCCGAGCTATCCGGCAAAGCATATCCGATGACATTCGAATACCTACGTACAAAGTATTCCGTCTGCAATTGTTTTAATGTGCCAAAAGTTGATGTGGTTTCTAGTTTATTTTTTATTTAAAACTACCCTGCCTTTCCTTCTTTTAGTTTGACACCAACTACTTGTAACAACTTTCTATGTAAATATTACCTACAGTATATTACTAGATGCAGTTTAAAGAGTGAAATATTAGTTTACTCAATCCAATGAAATTTTAAATTATTATCAGAAGTAGACAGGATAACACTATCATTCTTACTGTGGGTATATTTTTTTCCTTAATAATAGGGCCTGTTGCTGTAAAAAAATTACTCACCTTTTATCAACGATGAAAAATGAAAGATAATTCCATATTTTCTTCTTTTTAGGGGCTACACGTTATGCAATTTATTTTATGATTCACTTCCACTTTCTTTTCAATACATTTCACCTCGCGAATCACTTTTTATACTCAAGTTTCATTACACTACACTTCAGTTTCATTACATTACAATTCGTACCAATTTCTGGTATCTCGGGGCGTATATTTTCTTACGTAAAATAAACATTATTGTAATACCGATAGCATAAAATAATATATCGTTAAAAACACGCTTTGCCGAATATATCGTAAAACGATACTGATTTAGTTGACCCTTTACAAGACCGCGGTCATTTTCCCCACTTCTACGAAAACGGCATCCAAATTGGCACCCAGCAAATAAATTTGTTTATGGTATGAAAATTAATAAGGATGTAAATGTAGGGTTAGAACTAATATGAAAAAAGGAGACTAAAAACTGTGAGTCATTGATTTTGATATTAACGACTGACCGATAACTAATCGCAAGAATAAAAAAAGCGTTAGAGATATAATACAAACTGGGCAGGGTCGGATCGTTTTTAAAAAAAAGAAATCACTTATCGATATGCTCCAGGTCGGTTACTTTAGAAATTTAAAAGAGATTGGTAAAGTTGCGTTTGGAGTACGTTTGTTATGGATATGATTTGTGGACGCTGAACACTGGCGAAAAGAAAAAGGTTAGGAGCGTTTTTTGAGATGTGGTGTTATAGGCGGATATTAAAAATATCGTAGGTAGAAAAGGTTAGAAATGAGGATGTATTCGAAATAGTAGAAGAACAGAAGAAGTCAATAAGAAATAGGCGAGATAGATTGGTAGGACACCTTCTCAGGCATAAAGAGAGGGAGGGAGACATATTAGAAGAAAAAGCAGGAGTTAAGAGGGGCAGAAATAGACCAATATTAGATTAGTCTTCGTAAGGAGTTAGAAATATATACGTATGTTTCTAATTTTCGGGAAATGCAAAATTAAGTACATACCTATCCATCCGGACTTCAGGCTGAAGTCCTTATGGTGATGGGGGATGATGAATGATTTTGATAATTTATTGTTCTGTAATGATTAATTTACGTTTAAGATACACTGATTTCTAATTTAACTAATAATTCATTTTCTTCTTCTACTCATTTTGAAAAAGACAATATGATGTCCCTGCATAAATTATTCTATAGTACATTCATGAAATAACAGACAATAATAAATAAATAGTATTAGACTATTATCACTACGAAGCGTCTAAGTCATACTATATGTATTCGTAAGTGGGCAGGGGCGCAACAACGTTACAGTTTGACTGGGTGCTCCCATCATAATACTACAAATATTTATATACTGCAGGTGTCTATGTATAAGTTGAAAAGATCGAGTTCGGCTGCTAATTTACGAGTTTAAACTATTTGAACCGAACTTTCAAGTTGGGTTATTATCAGAATCGACTAGAATTGATTGAGTGCCCAACCCAATCGAGTGGGTGCTCAGGCACCCGTGGACCCTCCCTTGTTGCGCCCCTGTATGTAGGTACTCATCATTTTTTTTTTTTTTGGTTTCGGGGAAGAGGGGAAATCTTCAAAAGACACCCTGCCGTCCGTACGACAGGGTAGTGTTGGATTCACCCTGAAGGAGCGCCTACCAACTAAAACCCCTCTACCTCAGGCCGTTCTAGGACCAGTGAGGTTGGGCCTCTTCAGCCATATGTGTAGTTTTGTTATCTGATTTGTGATTTTTTGTGAGTGTTACTTGTGTGTGTGTTTGTGTTTAGTTGGGTTGGTTTTGTAGTTATCTGATGGAGTTGGGTAGGGAGTTAAGGTGGTCGATGAAATCATCGAGGAGATCTGAGGAATGGACAGGGGTCGGGCGGGAGGGATTACTCATCATTAAACTAGTACCACTTTATATTGACAGCAGCTTGTAGTAAATATAGGGTTGTAAATGAATTCGAATGGCATAACCGATTGGTTTGATATTTCTAAGGTAATATTCAGACGCGAACACATGGGAGGGTTTTGTGGGTTCTAGGCTCCCGCCCACGAAATGTATGGGAATTATTGTAATAGAGATCAATTGCATTGTGAGTTGTTTATTATAAACGTTGTAACTTTAGGCTGGGATTTCGCGGCCCCAAAAATTTCACGGATTAAAGCGTAAATCCACCATTGATTGTGGATTACCAACAAGTATTGTCACGTAATCAAACACTTTTCTCAATACTGACCAATTTATATAATTATTTGCTCTCTAATTAACTCCAGCATTATTTCATTACTTTGTATTTGCTTTCTGTTTCGTCGCCTTGTAAGGGCTCGTTTTCGGCAATATCCTGCTGATACTTATCAGTAGCGCAGAATAAAGCGGCACCACCAAAACTAATTAGCAGTGCATTTAGTTGAGATAAGAACGCATAGACGTTTAATTTGTAGAATTTTTATATTGAACTTACATCTACTGTAGACCTTTAATTACACCATTTACATCTTCGCTTACATGATCTGAATCTTTTCGCTTGTGACTCTTAATCTGTGTGAGTCTGTGTGTCTCAATTTGAATCTTGTTAGTCTCAATCTCTGAGTCTGTCTGTGGGTCTGAATCTCTGAGTCTGTCTGTCTTAGAAACTTAAAACTAAGACTTAAATAAACTTAACTTATGCAAATAAAGGGGGTGGTAAAGGTGGAGTGTAGGAGTCCCTTCCTAAATATTATGGATGACAAGCTTCATTGGTCATTACCACTGGGGGTGGTTCTGGTAGACACAATAGTCCCAGATTTCACCATCTGACCCAGTTTCGAGTGAAAGTTTACATTTATGGGGCAATAAATGAATCGCTATGAGTCCTCGATGGACCTGCACATTACAAGATATGAATTTATGACAGCCTTCTTGCTGAACAAACAGAATAGCTCAAAACCCCAACGCCAAAACACGACACTGTAGTTGTCCGAAGCACTTTTCGGTAACAAAGTTACCTTCTTCAGGGACTGAAGTAAACTAAACCTAAATGAGAACTAATCCTAATTTATACTGATAGTTGTTAAGGTTCAGTGAACATGACCCGAAGCCAACAAGGTAGATGTTCAATGGACCTTAACATCATCATCATAAACGTAATTAAACTAAACTAAATAGCGGAGATCCAGGGATGGGACCGTTGTCATTGTTAAGAACAATTCTTGCTGTCAACCCTGACCAATTTGTGTACCCTTTTTACTTCATGATTTATAACAGTGCCATCCATAACACTATTTTACGCATAGGCACAAAAGAAACCCTTCTCGAAATCGAAACAAAAGATTTTGATTCTTAAAAAAACTATTATTTCAAAAAAAGCAGACGTTAAAAAGAAATGAATTTTGAGTGAAACGAATTGATGAATAGGACTCGAACACTTTCGTTTGTTCTTTTGAAAACAATTACAAAAAGTGGAAACCTCATCGATCATAAAGTAAATAAAATAAAACGAAATTATTAATAACAACGCTTTTATTTAAATGTTTAACACTGAGAGATGAGTTAACATGTAACATTTGACTTTGAGATGATTGATTTCGACGTTGATCGAGTTAGGACCAGTAGCAGACACATAAGCCATTTTCGCATTTTCCATATTTCATTCCCATTACTTTACATGTTAAATTACATCCCAGGCAAAATGGAGCTCTTTTCAGACGATTGACTCTTGGACCCACTACTACAATTATTATGAAAAAGACGTACGTACAAAGCTTTAATCTAGTGAAAGTACAAAATAAGAAACTAATTTTATTAATTTACCTTTTCCATCTTTGTCATCTTTAGGCGCACATTTGACTAAAACAAGACAGACAATTAAAAAAATTGCAAAGGTAGCAATTGGCAATTTCATATTTCGTTGAATGATTTTTATACCTATTTGTGTACTGTTTATGATTTAGAATACTAATACAAATACACTGCTGGATGCATTGCATATATATAAGTGTGTGTATATATATTCAGGTTGATATTAGCATGAAGTCATTTATTTATTAATAGCATTGATCTCGTGAAATAAGTTCAGCCATTTCGGAGATAAGATCATCATGAGCTCGAAGACTAATTCAGTACACACGTCTACTTCTTCTTTTACCTCCATCCCTCTTAGGTAACTCCTGCTTTTATAGGGTTGTTCGGAAAGTCATTTCATTTTTTCCCGACAGAGGATTTAATTGTATTCTTTTGCACCCAACTTCACATTAAAGACGTATAATTTTTATATGCTTTGAGAGCTCATATAGCAAGGCTTGTGTGTGAAAAATTCCAATTAATTCTACGCAGTAGTTTTTGGTTGGTGCCCTTTTAAATATGGAGAGCGATAAGCAGCATTTTCGACATATCTTACTGTTTTACTACAGAAAGGGTAAAAATGCTGTTCAAGCCAGAAAGAAATTGACTGATGTGTATGGAGAAGGTGTGTTGACAGTACGCCAGTGCCAGAACTGGTTCGCTAAATTTCGATCCGGCAATTTTGATGTCGAAGATGCACCACGTTCGGGAAGGCCGGTTGAAGCTGATAAAGACGCGATAAAGGCATTAGTTGATGTGAACCGGCGAATAACAACACGTGAGATCGGATTGAGGTTAAATTTATCAAATTCAACAGTTTATGACCACTTGAAAGGCCTGGGATTATCCTCGAAGCTCGATGTATGGGTTCCCCATGTTCTCACAGAGAGAAATCTGTGTCGCCGCATTGACGTCTGCGATTCGCTTCTCAAACGTCACGAAAATGATCCGTTTTTGAAGCGCATCATCACTGGGGACGAAAAATGGGTTGTATACAACAACGTCAAACGCAAGAGGTCATGGAGCAAAAAAGATGAACCGGCTCAAACCATTTCCAAAGCCGATATTCACCAAAAAAAGGTGATGCTGTCTGTTTGGTGGGATTTTAAAGGAATCGTTTTTTTTGAGCTTTTACCGGATAACACAACGATTAATTCGGAAGTCTACTGTCATCAGCTGGACAAACTGAATGATGCACTTCAACAGAAAAGGTCAGAACTAATCAACAGGAAAGGTGTAGTGTTTCACCAAGACAACGCGAGACCTCACACAAGTTTGGTCACTCGCCAAAAGCTTTTACAGCTTGAATGGGATACAATGCTACACCCGCCATATTCTCCAGACCTGGCAAAATCGGATTATTATTTATTCCGGTCATTCCAAAATTTTTTAGACGGTAAAACCTTCACCTCAAATGAGGAGGTCAAAAACCTCCTCGATCAGTTTTTTGCCAGCAAAGACCGAAAATTTTATGAGCGTGGAATTATGCTACTACCAGAAAGATGGCAAAAGGTGTTGGACCAGAACGGTCAATATATAATTTAATAAAGTATTTGTTTATTATAAGAAAACTGTCTTTCATTTCCACAAAAAAAAAACGAAATGACTTTCCGAACAACCCTTTACTTCTAAAGGACCATGTAAGTATTAGGTGGTACGTTAGGACCAAATAGTGGCGGGGTCTTTGCTTTGCTTGTTTTTCAAGATATGGAAATCGGGGTGTCTGGATGGTGATTAGGCTGGCAATATTTATTGATATACTTCTTCTGATTTTTCTGCAAAATTTAGTAGATTTTAATTTCAACTACATACGTAGTCTGCTAGGTACTGTTGGCTCAAGCTCTTCTAAATTCATCGTCCTCCGCTGTAGTGTTGTAATAGATCTCTGCTTCCGCTTCCGCAGTTACGGAAGTTCCGCAAACATTTTCACATCGGATTCTGCATCTGGTTCCACATTTTTATAACGGAAGCTTATCGGAACTTTTCTAAAATTTTAGTCTTTTATTAGTCTCATATTTTAATCTAAAAACGTCCAGGACTTTCAGACCCCCTTAGACAGTTCTCCTAAGAATTTAATTTCGAAAATACTAATACAGTTATAGCGTTTTTTATTTTGCATAGTGTTTGCTCGGTGGTGTAAATTTTAAGTTAAAAGTGCAATTTTGAAGCTAATAGAAGTTTCATTTGGGATTATTTTGTTGGTATTAACGATGCAAGTTGTAAATGCAAAATTTGTAACAAAGTATTCGCGAAAAGGGCAGAAGAATCACCCAAAATCATTACACTTCCGATTCCGCACCCGCTTCTGTTTCCGCTTCAGCAAAAATTTACTAATTACTTCTGTATCCGTTTCTGCTTCCCTTGAACACAGTTTCGAGAAATTTACATTCACCTTCATTATTATTAAAAACCGAATACATTTTTAATAGTTTCACGTATTATTGTGTTTGATTCATTTGTTTATTCTGTGACCTTCTTCCCCACAAACGGATTTACTGGAACTTTTGGGACTTTTTCTTGTCCGTTCATTCGGTTTTTTAGTATATATAGGTAGGTACTTTTCTATTAGTATTCACAATTCAATATATTTATTGACGATTGTTTTTAACCACATGAAAGCTTCAATATGTTAATTGATTAATTTAATAGAAAGCCGCAGAGTAATTTATCCATAGAGATTTACAAAAATAAAGGCATTGCTTACGTGACTAAAATATTTGCGAAACGATTATAAAAATCACGCTATTGAAAATTGATTATTAGACGCGTGAGTTAATTAGTTACTGATAATAATAATAATAATAAAAATTTACTTCGTTTCAAATTTAAAAATAAATCGGTTACATTCAATTTCGACGGATTCTCCGATTTATCTATCTATTTATTTTTTTGTTTTATTACTGTATGTAAAAGTAAAATACTATTAATAACATTTGTATGAGTGCTTTTGAACCGTAAGAGACACTTTATTTTTATTATTAAGCACGAGCTGATAAATGCGGTAAAGCACCATTCGCAGTTTGCTCTTTAGATAAACTTTGTTGCACTTATTCTTGCTCCACATAAAATTTGTACATATGTATGACTCGTCAATGCATATGTTAGTAGACTCATATGGCGAATGACCAATTGTTTTATCTCGAAACCTGTTTAAGCTAATTTACACATTTCGCAAATTAAGTAATTCGAATGAGTTACTCAAATTCCAAACATGAGAGACGATCATTCGTAGTATTAAGGATGTTTGGGAGGTACAATCGGAGACAAGAGTACATAAAATTAGAAATTCGTGATTAATTAGGTCTTGCAGCATATCATGAGGTAAATAAATACTATCTATACTGAAAAAAAAAAGTATACGGTTTAATAGAAAATTTGGAATTTCACCAAAACCTTTGAATAAAATAAGAAATAACGAATAATATGGAAAAATTTTAACTGACTTTTGGCAGTGAATATGCCTTGATTTTGAATTTTCTCTATTAATAATGAGCGTAAAAGTTTTTAATATGTTTAAATAATAATTAAAAGTTTAAAATTGCATTTATTTCAGACAATTATAAATATTATCATTATATTATCAAGTAAAAACGAGATTTTCAGCTAACTTTTCATTTTTTCTTCGATAACCATTTAGTGAATTTGAATAACCTTACGCTAAAGTGATTCTCCAGAGTTCAAGTTACTTATAAAAGTTTGAAATTTCTGGTAGCTTTTTTTCTGTTAATAAAAATAAATTTAATCTGTTCGGTTAACGAATCTCCATAAAATGACGTGTAAAATTACAATTTCTTAAAATTTCAATAACTTTTTAACGGTTTAGTAAATCGATTTCTAATTTTTACAGGAGTTTTAGAATTGAATGAGGAACGTTCTTCCTTCTTTTTATTTGTCTCGTAGCATTGTTACATACCTCCCAAACATCCTTAATACATTTCGTCGATTTTGCAATTTAGGAATAGTGAGTCTTCGGATAATGAAATTACAAAAATGTTACTTAAGGAAAGCAATCTTTATTTCTTATAAACCGCTTATAACTCGGATGAAAATTTTAACATGATAAATTTATTACAACAATAAGAAGTATTACTATTATATTTGATATTACTCAAAACATTATTTCTTACAATCGCATCTTATAAACCCTCGCCTTGAGGATGAAATTCTTGGGTGTTCCTATACACTCTCCCCCCTCTCACCAACCTCATCCTCTAAGCAATCCTTGTTTAAAGCATGTGTTCAAAATAAACGTAATTGTTTAAAACATGTGAATACTTGTTTAAAATGTTTTTTGAATTGTTCGTTTGACAAATTTAATAAAAACTGTTTTTTTCGATCAACCCTGCCCGGCACACATTAAAAAAAAAGATCAGGGCTTTTCATTTGACTTTAATTTGTTGTATATTTTAGTTTTAATATAACTAAGTTCTAACATTAGACAATATCTTGCAAATCATTATTACTTTAGTTAATAAGAAAAAAGTCAAACAAGTAATAAAGCAGTTAATCACTACATTTTTTTCGCAAAATCAACAGAGAATTTCGAGTTAAAACGGGTATTCACCATTTCCTAAGAATTTTTAGTCAGTCGATCATGTTGTTATGCAAATTGTCTTATCTTGTTTATCTACTGCAGAAATCTTTGTTTTTCTCTATTTAGTGTAAATAAATAGACTAAATCGTACTTTCCCATCTTATCACTCTGGTGATGACAATTCCATGAAACTCATCATTTAAAATTTTTATGAAGTATGTAAATAAGGAAATCGCAATGCTCTTAACCTTGATTACACCACGACCAAATAAGTCAAGTTGTAAGTGTTTCTATTGTTTACTCGTTGTTGCATTTAATGTAATGAAGGTTATTAGGAAACAAATATTGTCGTTAAATATAAGTAATAAAACAAATTCGGGGCTTTTCTACTACATACAAAAGTTTTATATAAAGATAATAATGCATCTACAAGATAACATTGTCAACAAGGAAATCGTTGGAAAATATTATTTAGGAAAAGCTAAAAATATTCGAACAGCATGCAGCAAAGGTTGGACGTACTGCATTCAAATATCAACGGTAATTGTCAACTATAATAGAAAGTATTTTTTAAACAAGTAATTTTTTCGGATTATATTGCCGTTAATACGCTTCGATCCTAGAATCGTACTATAGAATAGTCGTTAATTCAACCTCATAATATTTTGAATGGGAATAATATTAAAACCTTACACAGCAAATTATAAATTATTGTACGTGGTGCTCTGGGTAAAAAAATATATTTGATGTTAATTATTTTTTTGCTAGCTTTCGTCAATACGACTCTAATTAATACCTAACACATAATAATTTAAAAGAACTTCCGACAATGTTTAACGTTGCCGAGTTAGGTATTAATTAGTAAATAGTTAATAGATTGCCTGAAGAGGTCAACCGTCGTGTTGACGAAAGCTAGCAAAAAAGTAATTAACTTCAAATATATTACTTACGAGAGCACCACGTACAATTCTTTAACTTATAATATTTTAATAATTTCATTTTCTGTTTTCTCGTACTAAAATTTTGCCATCGCTCACTTTAGGACAGTTTTTAGAAAAGCAGGAGATATTTTCATATAGATGAGAAAAAATGATAAACAATCGAGCATAAGAGAAAGAGAAAAAAATTAACAAAAATTCTTACTATTTCATGATAGCCATAAGTACAATTATGATTATGATTAAATTATATTACCTAAGATGTTATATTAAATAATACTGTTACATAGTATCTATAAATTATTACTTAGGCCACTGATACAAAGTGGGTTAGTAGGTCAATTAGCGACCGTTTAAGGCGACGAAAAAGGGTGGTGACGCGGCTTGCCCTTTTCACTCAACCTATACTGGGTCCCTGCCATTTTTTACGTACCTCAATTTATTAATTATAGTTAAGTTGTTGTTTGAGTTTTCATCCATTAAGTTTCATGAAATTATTAAATAAATTGTTGACTGACTTGCCACTGCTGCATTCTCGTAGTGAACTAGTTTAATTTTATATTTAGCGTTTAATTTTACATTTAGAATTTTGTGAAGTTTATTAATTATTTGCAATTATTGTTTTCATGCTAAAATGGTGAAATAAATTACAAATTACTAATACATTTGGTGAACGTTTTGCCTTATCTGTATATGCATCTCCATGCTTTATACACACAATCTGTTTTTGATACTAAGATACAGACTTTAGATGAATCATAGTTCATTTTTTTTTATTCCCTGTAAATTGAAAATAAACAATTTTCTAGGTAAAAAAAACAAGATTACAATATTCTGTCACAACAAGAGTAACTTTACAATTAAAAACATAACACACCTGTGTGTTTAAATAAATAACAATAAACAAACTATGTTGAAATGTAGTCGGTAGTTACCCCAAATTTCGATAAATATTGGCTATAATTGATAAGATTAAGAGGGAGGAAAAAACTGTAACGAAGTGATAACGAATATTTATTTATTTTCATAAAATGTTCTAGTATAAAAGCGACCGACTAGGTGTTTTATTCATACTTAAAATCTTTCATTAACTAAGAAACAAGTAACTTACAATAAAATTAGAAAAACTATTTCAAAAATGAATAAAATTTTCATATTTGTCGCTTTTGCAACCATTTTTGGTTATGCCACATCTGCAGTTTCTGAAGTGGTCGCCCCGCAACAAGATGACAACCCTCTAACTGTTGAAGAACGTAAACAGGGTAAGAAATTATAATATACAATATTGTTCTACCAATGATTTGTCGTTGGATATTTGTTAATCTCTTAAGATACTTGCGAATTACAATGATTATTGAAGATAAAATTGATCGAAATGTTTAAATAAAAGGCGTAAGGGCTGCTAAGATTCAATCAGAATCTTTAATTAGAAATAGGCAATTAAGTTGTATTCGAGAAAGAAGAAAACAATTGAAAAAATGTAGAGGTTTTATATTCGGTTGTATAGTTGGTTGTATAAATTTTGACATGTTCGGGCTTACAATTGGTTGCGTATTCATAATACATCAGGAAACTAAATTGTAAGTGTTAAATATCACCGTAAATAATAATTATTGCTATATACCAGGAAAAATAAAGCAATCGTAACTTGTTTTTTCGCTTCAATATAATTTACAAAACAACATTTGAAATTTAATCACTATAATCCTTGTATGTTATACCTACTGAAGGAGATAATCTTTTTACTTTATTTCAGAAAAATATTTCGAAATTGGTGAAGAAGAACAAGATAATGAACCAAGGAGTGCACCTTTAATCCTACCAAAAGAAATCAGCGAAGGTAAGAAACATTTTTTATAATTTAGTTATTTTAGANTACTTCTCTTTGTATTTGGTAATTACCTGTTTGTATTTCATTTATTTCTTATTAAACTAATCTAAAGCTACATAAACGTTGTTTTTTTAATTTTTCTTTCATTACACAACAATTGCGAGTTATATATGAACTGATTTGATATTTTTGTAGCTGAAGAGAATTGACATGAACTAAAAATGTCCAAATCGATTTTCAGTTTTTATTTACTCATTCAAACAACTAATTTTTCTGAATTTCGATAAATCAATTCACACTGCAGTGCAATCTGTTTTGATTAAATCAAGAATAAAAGGCTGTCGTTTTCATCTTGGTCCAACCTGATACAGGAATATTCAATCTCTTGGTCTTTCTACTGAAGACAGAACAAAATTATACTTAGAGGTAGCAAGTTTTAAGTGTTTTTTTGAAATCCCGTATCTTGGACCTACAGACGATGTCGTTTATTTTTTCATTGATGGTTTAATGGCATTTCTTTCGCAAAATCAAATTATAGGTTTTACACAATTCTCAAGTCGTTGCATCACAGTTACGTATGGTAATAAAAATCACTGAGACGGAATTTACGTTCTTCGCGTGGCCTTATCAGGAATAAACTGAATTTTCCGTAAGGAAATATAAAATTATTTAAAACAGTAACCATGCATTTTATTTAATAAACATACATAAAAACAGAAAATAATTTACAAAGATGCGAAACACTTAGATAAAGCTTGTCATTTCATCGGCAAATACAAATTCCTCTTACACAAAATCCTTTTGCCTTTCCTAATCCTTCACAATGTAATTCACATCCTTTTCTTCCACTTTGAGATTCTGTTGCAAGGCGATAACAATATGTAAGGCTTTTTTTAACACCTGGAACAAAATGTAACAATAGCAATACATTTCTTTTTAATTGAAAGAAAGGTAATAAATAGATCCTACTATTTTAAAAATAAGTAGGCTAAATTAATTTACAGTTTAGCACAGTTTTAACTTGTTTTTTTCTCTTTTATATATATATTCTCTATACCTTAAAAAAAAGGCAGAACCCTTAACTAGGGCCACTTCGTTGTCCATCCGCCTATCTATTCGTTAAAAGATTACTGATGTAAGGCTTTTTTTAACACCTGGAACAAAATGTAACTATAGCAATGCACTTCTTTTTAATTGAAACAATTTTGGAATAAAGAAAGGTAATAAATAGATCCTACTATTTTAAAAATAAGCAGGCTAAATTTATTTACAGTTTAGCACAGTTTTAACTTGTCTTTTTCTCTTTTTAGGGTTCTATACCTTAAAAAAAAGGCAGAACCCTTAACTAGGGCCACTTCGTTGTCCATCCGCCTATCTATTCGTTAAAAGATTACTGATGATCATCAAAATTAAATGCTTATAAATTCAGCAAAATAATTCAAATTTAAAAAAGAAATTTTATAGTATTGTAGGTATTAGATCTGACAAAAATGGACGGGATTTTTAAAACTACTTATATAACTTATTCATACAACTCTATGGGTTAGACTGATATATATCCTCGAAGTAGTTTTTTTTAAACGTGATAGCGTTCTGAAACTTGGATAATAAAATAAATTCGAATGTGAATCTTCAAGGGGAGTGCTACTGGGAATATAAACACATATTTTGAATATCATATTTAAGATATTCTGAAAAAAATATACCAAAACGGATCAGATGTCTTACAGATTTCTAAAAATTACTTTTACTAATCTATCATTTTATTTGTGGACTATTGTTACCGACTTATGATACAATGAATACTTAATTAAGAATATAACTGAATTTCATTGACCTCCTCGAGTTTCAGCGAGTCAGCGAGTGTGTGGACTTCCTTTATAATAATATGAACCTATTTACCTATGCATGTGATTTGGTGTACGGTAAATCCCCTTTTTTTTTGGTGAATGACGCAATAAAAATGTACATTCCTATTTTAAATTGTTCGTTAAGTAAGTGCAATTGTTTTGGAACTATGTTTTTAAGTAGGTACTTAACCACATCAGATTCAATAAAATTTTGCCTTTTCTTACAGAAATCAGAAATGTGTTAATTATATGAATATAAAATAATTAAATAAATAATTTTTTTAACTGTTACTTTGAAGTACTACAGAATTCTGAACTCGGGGGAAGCAAATACATAATCAGATGAATGTGATGGACAACAAGCTGAAAATATCGAGCACAGAAATAGTTCTTTCTGTTTTCTATCNGATACAGCTCTAGTGATTCTTGTACCCTGCTTTAACGAAGAAGCTGCAATGAAAATGTGCTTTCATACTATTATTATAACAAATTAATTTTTCATTTTGGTAGTTTAAAATGGAACTATTAGATTCTATTTGGAAAAAAAGAAAATAACAAAAAATACGAAAAAAAAAAAACAATAAAAGCAGTGCAACTTACGAATATCTGAAGGTTCTGCAGGCATAGCAGATGTTGTGATAACGAATATAACAACGAATAAAGCAAGGAATTGTAAATATTTCATTTTGATTTCCGGTGTTAATATAGTTTATACTTATAAGGCTTCTATCACAATCGCGACTTCAAAGGTTTTACTGGTTTTGAAAATTATTAACCGAGAACTCGTACTTATATTCCCTGATATATTCACGTGCAAAATCTTCAAAATGAGATCAACACAGGCTGTTGACGTTATACGTACATACACATATATATGTAAAACTTGTTTGTCGGTGCATTTGTGATAAGGTGATTCCCTCATATCACATAAACTTTTATAGTCTCTTTTTTCAAATTCATAAATGCCTAATTGAGAGAAATTAAAAAATTAAATCAAGTGTTTGTATATTTGGAAAATTACGTTATGCACAAAAAGAACAAGATAAATAGTAAAAGATAATCACAAAAAATTTACCCAGGGAGACAGTCAGGGGTTCCTGGATTTGCTTGATTAAAAGAGAACTCGATGTTCTCTAATAGAAAAATAGCTAAATTATTAGCACCAAGTAAAAATTTATTTAACAATACAAGGAACCAAAACAACTACCCTGTACGTCAGCCCTAACACTAGTAAGTTAGACACGCACCTCCATCCTGAACTAATCTTCGCATTTCCCTAAAAATAAAACATGTTACATCCTTAACTATTTATGAACAATCATTTGATTTAGATCTACCTCTGCCCCTCCGAACTACAGCATCTGCTTCTAATGTGTTTCTAACTAGCCCTTCATGCCTGACCAATCTATCTTGCCTATTTCTTGTTGACTTCCATAGCGTCTCTATTCTCCTACTCTTTCTAATATCTACTCATTTCTAACCTTCTCTCTATGTACTGTATCTTCATCGTCCGACTGCAAAACAACAATTCAAACGTTTGTAGCCTTTTTATTTCCTCCTTGCTCACCGTTCACGTGTTGCACCCTATAGAGAGCCCTGCTTCAAACATTTATTAGTGACTATTTGTCGTTACAGACAACTGGACCCTACGCTGTTCTTTATATGATATCTCTCTTCTCCTTCCATTCTGAAATTTCTGACTTCCCAGATATCGAAAATTAACGAGTCGCACATCAATATCTTTGTTTTACTTTTATTTATTTTCATACTATAATCTTTTGTCAATACTATTAAAATAAACAATTCTAAATACTAACACTTCTATATCATCAGCAAACCTAAACACTAAGAATGATTATCTTTTGTTCCTGCACACGAATATCTATCCCTAATCCCTAATGTATGTCTTTAATGATTTAATCGCGTTTTCAATATATGGATTCAAAGGTAGCGGTGATAATGTGCATCCTTGTCTCTGACTCGTATACCTTTGTATCTCATTCCTACATTTTCAACTATATTTTCATTTAACATTTTTAGAAGCTTTTTATAATGCTACGAATCTTTGATTATTACTCGTTAAACTAAAATGGCCTCACGCGTTCCCTTCTTTCTTCTAAATCCAAATTGGTCTTCTATAGCAATACAAACAATTTTGGAATAAAGAAAGGTAATAAATAGATCCTACTATTTTAAAAATAAGCAGGCTAAATTTATTTACAGTTTAGCACAGTTTTAACTTGTCTTTTTCTCTTTTTAGGGTTCTATACCTTAAAAAAAAGGCAGAACCCTTAACTAGGGCCACTTCGTTGTCCATCCGCCTATCTATTCGTTAAAAGATTACTGATGATCATCAAAATTAAATGCTTATAAATTCAGCAAAATAATTCAAATTTAAAAAAGAAATTTTATAGTATTGTAGGTATTAGATCTGACAAAAATGGACGGGATTTTTAAAACTTCTTATATAACTTATTGATACAACCCTATGTGATTAGACTGATATAAATCCTCGAAGTAGTTTTTTTTAAACGTGATAGCGTTCTGAAACTTGGATAATAAAATAAATTCGAATGTGAATCTTCAAGGGGAGTGCTACTGGGAATATAAACACATATTTTGAATATCATATTTAAGATATTCTGAAAAAAATATACCAAAACGGATCAGATGTCTTACAGATTTCTAAAAATTACTTTTACTAATCTATCATTTTATTTGTGGACTATTGTTACCGACTTATGATACAATGAATACTTAATTAAGAATATAACTGAATTTCATTGACCTCCTCGAGTTTCAGCGAGTCAGCGAGTGTGTGGACTTCCTTTATAATAATATGAACCTATTTACATATGCATGTGATTTGGTGTACGGTAAATCCCCTTTTTTTTTGGTGGATGACGCAATAAAAATGTACATTCCTATTTTAAATTGTTCGTTAAGTAACTGCACTTTTTTTGGAACTATTTTTTTAAGTAGGTACTTAACCACATCAGATTCAATAAAATTTTGCCTTTTCTTACAGAAATTAGAAATGTGTTAATTATATGAATATAAAATAATTAAATAAATATTTTTTTTAACTGTTACTTTGAAGTACTACCGAATTCTGAACTCGGGGGAAGCAAATACATAATCAGATGAATGTGATGGACAACAAGCTGAAAATATCGAGCACAGAAATAGTTCTTTCTGTTTTCTATCGATGATAATAAAACTAGGGTTAATTGTGAATGTAAAATGAACATGTTTATTTTCCCAATTATAGTAAGTACATACAATATGAAGGCTGAAGGTGATCAATGTTAGATACCAATAGCAGAATAAATAATAAATATTATTATTAATATTAAGTTAGTACATAATTTGTTAAAAGCAGGTGCAGACGTTCTTTATACAATAACCACCCCTTTTTCCTTTGCCTTGACAGAAAAAGCTACAAGCAGAACATTGGAATGATGTTGATACAGCTCTAGTGATTCTTGTACCCTGCTTTAACGAAGAAGCTGCAATGAAAATGTGCTTTCATACTATTATTATAACAAATTAATTTTTCATTTTGGTAGTTTAAAATGGAACTATTAGATTCTATTTGGAAAAAAAGAAAATAACAAAAAATACGAAAAATACAATAAAAGCAATGCAACTTACGAATATCGGATGGTTCTGCAGGCATAGCAGACGTTGTGATAACGAATATAACAACGAATAAAGCAAGGAATTGTAAATATTTCATTTTGATTTCCGGTGTTAATATAGTTTATCACAATCGCGACTTCAAAGGTTTTACTGGTTTTGAAAATTATTAACCGAGAACTCGTATTTATATTCCCTGGTATATACACGTGCAAAATCTTCAAAATGAGATCAACACAGGCTGTTGACGTTATACGTACATACACATATATATGTAAAACTTGTTTGTCGGTGCATTTGTGATAAGGTGATTCCCTCTTTTCTCATGAACTTTAATAGCTTCTTTTTCAAAATTCTTAAATGCGTAATTGCGAGAAATTATGCACTTTAACGTAATTTAAAAAAAAAGAAAAAATTAAATCAAGTGTTTGTATATTTGGAAAATTACGTTATGCACAAAAAGAACAAGATAAATAGTAAAAGATAATCACAAAAAATTTACCCAGGGAGACAGTCAGGGGTTCCTGGATTTGCTTGATTAAAAGAGAACTCGATGTTCTCTAATAGAAAAATAGCTAAATTATTAGCACCAAGTAAAAATTTATTTAACAATACAAGGGACCCAAACAACTACCATGTATGTCAGCCCTAACACTTAAGTTTGACACGCACCTCCATCCTGAACTAATCTTCGCATTTCCCTAAAAATAAAACATGTTACATCGTTAACTATTTATGAACAGTCATTTGATTTAGATCTACCTCTGCCCCTTGGAACCCCAGCTTCTGCTTCTAATGTGTTTCTAACTAGTCTTTCAAGCATGACCAATCTATCTTGCCTATTTCTTGTTGACTTCCATGGCGTCTCTGTTCTCCTACTCTTTCTAATATCTACTCATTTCTAACCTTCTCTCTATGTAATGTATCTTCATCATCTGATTGCGAAGCGTTTCTAACCTTTTTATTTTCTCCTTGCTCACCGTTCACGTGTTGCACCCTATAGAGAGCCCTGCTTCAAACATTTATTAGTGACTATTTGTCGTTACAGACAACTCGACCCTACACTGTTCTTTATATGGTATCTCTCTTCTCCTTCCATTCTGAAACTTCTGACTTCCCAGATATCGAAAATTAACGAGTCGCACATCAATATCTTTGTTTTACTTTTATTTATTTTCATACTATAATCTTTTGTCAATACTATTAAAATAAACAATTCTAAATACTAACACTTCTATATCATCAGCAAACCTAAACACTAAGAATGATTATCTTTTGTTCCTGCACACGAATATCTATCCCTAATCCCTAATGTATGTCTTTAATGATTTAATCGCGTTTTCAATATATGGATTCAAAGGTAGCGGTGATAATGTGCATCCTTGTCTCTGACTCGTATACCTTTGTATCTCATTCCTACATTTTCAACTATATTTTCATTTAACATTTTTAGAAGCTTTTTATAATGCTACGAATCTTTGATTATTACTCGTTAAACTAAAATGGCCTCACGCGTTCCCTTCTTTCTTCTAAATCCAAATTGGTCTTCTCCTAAAAGTTCTTCCACTCTTTTTAGCACTACTGCACGATTCCAGTTAAAATTTTTGACGCAGAGAAAGTTAAGGTAATTGTTCTACATTATTAGAATGTATCTGTTCCTATCTGTTTGGTAAGGTTATACTATATGTTCCGTTTATAGTCCTTCGGGACTTTGCTCGTCTCGTATATGTGGCCAACTAACTTAAGCAAACGATCTCTAGCCTCTTGTACTGCATGTTGTAAGCTGTAAGATTTCCGCTTGTACCTTATACTGTATGCCTGGCGCCTTATTATTCTTTAAGTTTTTTGTTGTTACATCTCATGTCAATCGCGTGTCTCTTAGTTACCCTAATACATTTCCAACTTATATCTTTTTGGACCTTGTTCATCGTTGTTCTTCTTCAATTTCCGCCTTTTTTCTATTAATTCTACAATCTGATTGGTTACTCAGTGCTTTGTTTAAAATCTAATATATCTCTAGCTGTGGAATCGAACATGTTTTAATGCAGTTTTACTCTGTTTCTATACGTCTTTCTCATTAGTTTCTCCCGCTTCCTTTAGTATTTCTTCTGTTCTTCCCCTCTTCCTCATAATTTCGAATTTAAGATTGGTTTTCATAACTTAGCTTTCAATGTCTATTTCTGGATAAATGCAACAATCCTATAGTTCATTGCCTAATAATAATAATGAAATCTAACTGATATCTCCCTAGACCAACTGACATTTTTAACTATATCATCCTCTAAGGTGATGATCAAATAAACTATTCGCGGCGCGATCGTTTTAGTTTTGGTTTCTTGTACTCGGGATATCATAATGTGGTGGTTTCCGATTGCCTTCCACATTGCAGTGTGTTGTGCATCAGAGTGCCAGATTCTAAACGTGAAGCCAGATTAAGACAAGTCTCTGGCTCCTTCCCCCTCATTATGGTTGAGCTTATAGTCTAAATCACTGAGAGGCGTAAGCCGATCCACCCACAGGAGCTTCGTCAAGGTTCAAGCCCCGTCAAATAAGAACTAGAACACTAAACCACTAGATAAAGGGGTAGTATCATAAAGCATTTTGGGTCCTAATTATAGATTGGTTCTGTTGCAGATAATAGGCCTACTACATACGTATATAACTTAGTGTTGCCCAAATTCAGTCTTGGTCTTGCAGTCTTGGTCTTGTTCTTGCATTTTTGCAAGACCAAGACCAAGAACAAGACCGCGTATTTTTAGCAAGACCAAGACCAAGACTGACCGTGCAAGACTTGAGCAAGAACAAGACATAGCCTGTAAGACTCTTGCGTCTTGCAGCTAGGACTTAGCGCTATTTCACTGAGTAGTTAGGTGTAACAGTTCGGTGTATAGGTAGGTACGCTTAGGAATTCTATGAGACGCAAAAAACTGTATCAAAGAATATGAAAAACTGGACCTATGCGCATTACGACTAATACCATAAACATAGCGAATAAAAAAATTATTAAAATCAAACTGAGTGCATGCATAGTTATGTTTTAACCATCGGCACTTTGATAATGCGGCATCAAAGGTTTTGTACTTACTTCTCAAAGAAATTTGCCGCTTTTCGGAAGTACATGGTTATGATACACGCGCCGGCGGCTTCTTTTGAAATCTAAAACAATCGTTGCCGCCACGCCGAAATCATAACATTTGACACTATTTGATTGCCGCCATAGGGTGTAGGTATACTCATGCAAAATAATTTCGAATTTTTTTACACGCTTTATATTATTGTTTGATTTGCGGCGGCATCCTTATCATAGAGCCGGCACGTGGCGAGGCGGCGCGGTAGAAAGCAAGGAT